CACCCTACCAGCAATACAGCAGCTGGGAAACCGTGTGGATGCCGGGATGGTGGTAAATTTTGCTTTAACGATCGATGTCTCAGATTCTTGCTCTAGCTGCCAGGACACAGGCAGCACTCTCTACAACCACCCCTTTCCCCAGTCTGCTCAGAGCCCGGAGTTCTCCCCTTTTGATAATCCCTCTCCGCCCACCCCAGGGGCCTGGCGAGGAGCGCAGCTGCCGGAACAATCCTCGCAGAGTTCAACCAGCTCTGAAGAAGCCGCAAGGAAACGTGGAACGCGACCTCTATCTGGTGAAGGTCATTATGTGCAGGCTGAGGGTTTAAGGCGGTAGTGTAGGAAGGGTTGGGGCCCTCCAGGACGAGGGAGGCAGCTACTGAGCGCCACCAACTGGGCTGAACTTGAACGGAGAAAGCTCCACCTACCTCGTGGCTTTTCGGAGCTCTTTTCTTGGGGGACCCAACCCCTCTCCCTTTGGAGGCGATAGTAGCTGGAGAAGTCTTGAGAATAAATGTGAGTCCTGTTACCTGTTACCTGTCTGACCTGAGTGTCTACACATTTCGAATATATATGTATTCCTCACCCCTCCAAACAACACTTACTGGGCACCACGCTCCGTGCTGAGGATACCTGGCCAATCGCCCTGTCTCTGCCACAGTCCATACCTCCTTGAAAGCACTGAGGGCAATGAAATTTTCTGGCATTGTAGAGCACTGGCTATTTACAAGCTGCTTTCATGTGCCATTTCTGTGTGTGCGTGTGTGTGTGTGTGTGTGTGTGTACAAGCACACTTGCTTGCTCATAGATATATTTGCTGGACAATAGCAATAAGAGTGGCTGGGAGGAATTGAAATCCTTTGCCTGTAGAAGAAAGATCATCAGGAGAAGCTGGGGGTTGGGCTAAGCTTGCTGAGGAAGCAGAAGGAGATGTGGCATTTGGCCAGTCTTTGGATACTAATGGGGGCTTCTGAAATCAGATCTACCTGAAAAGGTCTCTTACACCTCCCACCTTCTTCCCATCTTCATTCTCCTCACGCTCGCTTTTTCCCCTCCCCCTCCTCCCAGCGCTGGGAGATGGTATTTTTAGAAGCTGCTTAGAGACCCAGGACTCCTTTCATTTCAAAACGAGTCTTCACTCCACTACCCCTCACCTCCCTCTCCAAAACCAGGTCTCATCCCCTTTGCAGTCTCTAAGGCGCCAGCTATAGCATCTTATCTGAGCTCCAGGGATTTCAGTGCAGAGGTTCTGATCCTATGTGCTAAAATAAAATGCAGACTCCCTATGAGCTTCGCAAGAATGGTTCGGAACCAAACCTATGGAGGAAATATCTGAAGAAACCGCTGGCTGTCAGTAGTCTGGTTTCTACCCTCTCCCGCCACACACACCTGCAGGCACCTGGGGGAAATCGCGAGATTGAGACCATCGGAATGGAAGAAAGAAGAAAAGAGGTGAAATAAGCCTTCTCTGTCTTCCTCTGAACAATTCATTTATAACAAAAACAGAACGGTGTAGTCCCAGTTTATGCGGATATATGCAAATCAGCCTGATCTTAATAAGAGTTGCTCCAAGGCAGACTCCACTCTACTAGGAGGCTGCAGAATAGACACCTCATGAAGAAATTCAGAAGTGTCTTAGAAAGAAACTAAGCCATGGTTTATTGAGATCTTAAGTGCTAGGGCCATTCAGCCGAAGGCTAGGTTAGATTTCCCTAAAATAGTGAGCGCGGGGAGTGGATTGGGGTGAGGATGAGGGGTGTGAGGGGGGCTTGGTGAGTTTTCTGGCCGTGGTGCTGAACTATCAGCCCACGGGCCAGCTTCGGGCTTGTTTCTGTCCGTGGTGCTGAACCTATCAGAGTCCATATCTTCCATTTTTAACTAGACCTGGGACCTCTCTCTTATGGCGATCTGATCCTTGGCCCAGGGCCCTCTGCCTACTTCTTCAGCCTATAACCAAGATCCAGCGATTTGAGTCTCCAGGAGACAAGCAGACTTATTCTCTAGGGTAAGAGTGGGGAGGGGGGCCTGGAACCCATCCAGAAACTCCTCTTTTTTTTCTTCTACTCCTCCCAGACCCCATCTGAGGTAGAATGAAAGGGATATTTCTCTTTATTTCTACCTCACTATCTCCAGGATAATGGAGAGAACACTAGATAACAAAAAAAATTGTCTTCTGTGGAGCAGATTCAACTTTACTACAACCTCCATCTTCAAATTACTGAAAGTTATGAATCTAGAAGGTGAAAATTTGGTCCCTTCCTTTTGCACAGATGCAGGAAGTACATTAAGCCTGGCTGGATGGGTAAAGTTTCCTTCTCCATGTAGAAGATTAAGATTGTTCCAGAGAACTCAGGGACAAGCCCTGAAAGAGAACAGAGAGGGAGCAAAGAGCAATGGGAAGCCCTACTGCTCCAAGGGACATCTCCAATTTGTCTCTTTACTCTTTCACTCCATCTCCCACTCTCTAGCCTAAGAAAGAAATATATCCAAGGTGAATTCTTTTCTAGGTCAAGAGACTCACAGGCAAAAATAAGATGGAGGTTATAAATGAATGTTTAAACAGTATTTTTCCAAGATAAGGGAAACATAAAACATCTAACTTGCTGACTTTGAAAATTAAGCAGAGGAAATCTTTAGATTATCAAACACAACATAGCCTTTATAAGCCTCTACTTCCTCCTTTGTAAAATAGGAATGAAACACTTTTAGGAGTTACCATGAGGTCAGAATATGATTTTAATACATGGCTCAGCACAGTGATTGGCGCATAGTTCTGGTATGTTTCATTATTCAACTCCATGGTTAATTAAGGTGAAAAACAGAAAGAAAAAAGGAAAGAATAAAGGAAGGTTAGGTGGTGAGGTAGGAAGAGAGAGAGAAAATTAGAGAAACAGTCATAGAGAAAAAGACAGAATGAGGAATAGAGACAGCTGGTTGAGATGAATGTGGCTAGAAAGTAAGGAGCCTGAAGGAAATATGTTTGAAGGGACAGAAATATTATCAGAACCGGCTGGCTGGCCAGTTGCCAAGTGGCCTCAGAGGTGACATTTACCTGGGTAAATTCATCATGTTCCAAGCTCATAAACTTGACTTAACAGTTCTAAGAGAGAGCTTATATTTTGGGGGATTAGAAAGTAAATCATATTAACTCAGCTCCTATCCTGCTATCTGAGCCAAAGAACCATTGTATTAATATACTATAAGAAATGGAACAGCAAATAGGGCCAGAATGCTCACGTTGCCACGTCCAGCAGATTCTTCTTCTATAGGAAAATGTGCACAGGAAGCCAATTTATGAGGTGAGGGCTGCTTTGAGAATATATGAACAGAGGGAGTTAGATGGTTTAAATATTTGATGACATCAGACTCTGATAACCTTCTACTTCCAAATCCTCAGGAGGAATAAATCTGCCACTGGAATAAATCTGAACAACTGTATTGGGGTCCAGGGCTGGAATGAGATCCACCAACATACGCTTCTCTGACTCTTAAAAAAAAATTTAGTTCTATTTCTAGGACTTTAAGATTGAGCAGTCCTTTTCAATTTAAATTACCAAAGTAATATAAATTAATAAAAATTTCATAAAGTGAAAATATCCATTCATTCCATCCCATATAGTCCCACTTCAAAATGTAAACCATGTTAATAGAGTTATGTATATCTTTCATGGTATTTTACACACACACACACACACACACACACACACACACACACACACACATCTTTACAGGAAAAAAATACATCTGTTGGCAAGATAAAAACTGTTGATTACCCAATACTTCTCTCCTCTTATATTTTTTATTGCTGAGAAAGCCCCAATTTTATTTGGATGTTCATCTACCATAGTCCTTTGCTCAGAGATGATGACCCTGTCCCCAAGTTCAAGGATGAATAAAGATTGTTACTAGCTAATGATTTTCATCCTGTTCCATGTTTCAGGGTTAGCTTAGGCATGGGTATGTGAGACAAACCTGGCTTTCTGAATTGGGAATTGTAGAAAATGTATTTCCTCCTAAAAAAGAGATGTATGTCATGCAATATCCCAGTTCTTCTCTGCATGTCATGTTTGCATTTGACACCTGAATCTGCTGCAGCCATCTTGACATCATGAAGGGAGATTTCTCAATACTTTTAGTTAAGATTTTTTAGTTGTATGTAACTGGAAATCCAACTAAAACTGGATTAAACAAAAATTAGATTTTATTGGTTCATGTAACCAAATGGGATAGCTCTGTGTAAAACAGTAAGATTTTTGCATTAGGATTGTGGTAGAGTGCTAGCTAAT